TTTTGTTTTCCTTGCCTGAGGAGACCGATTCAAAAAATATTGCTAAGAATGATGTCAAAGAGCAAACTGCCTATGTTTTCTTCCAGGAGTTTTATGATTTCAGGCAGGTCTTACACTTAAGTCTTTAATCAGTTTTGAGTTTATTATTGTATATGGTGTGAGAAAGTAGTCCAGTTTGAATCTGTAGCTGTCCTGTTTCTTCAACACTATTTATTGAAGAGGCTGTCTTTTCCTCATTGTATATTAACTGACCATATAAGTGTGGATTCATTTCTGGGCTCTCTATTCTGTTCTATTGATCTACACGTCTGTTTTTTGCTAGTACCACAGTGTCTTGATTTCTGTTTGCTTTGCAGTATAGTTTGAAATCAGGGAGCATACTTCTAGCTGTGTTCTTCTTTTTCAAGATTGTTTTAGCTTTCCAGTTTCTTTTGTATTTCCATACAAATTTTAGAATTATTTGTTCTAGTTCTGTGAAAGTTGACATTGGAATTTTGATAGGGATTGCATTGAATCTTTATTTTATTTTTAAAGAATAACTTTCAATTACAGCAGCTTTTATTATCTTTTAAAATTTTTAATATTTATTTATTTTATTTCTGGCTGTATCGGGTCTTAGTTGCGGCATGCTGGATCTTCGTTGTGGCATGTGGGATCTTTTCGATGGGGCACGTGGGCTTCTCACTAGTTGTGGTGTAGGGGCTTCTTTCTAGTTGCAGCACACGGGCTTAGTTGCCCCGTGGCATGTGGGATCTTAGTTCCCTGACCAGGGATCGAACCTGCATCTGCTGTACTGGAAGGCAGATTCTTTACCACTGGACTACCAGGGAAGTCCCAGCAATGTCTTCCGATATGAAAAAATTTCATCCCTACTTCAAAATATATACAAAAATGAAATCCTAAGAAATTAGGTATCTAAATTGGAAAAAAATTTAAACCATTAGCAGAGAGTGTAGGAAATATCTTTTTGAGCTTTCTTGGGAAACATTTTTAAAACTGACCCAAAAAGTAGAGACCATAAGAGACTGTGAAATTTCACCGTATGAGAATTATAAGGGCATGTACAATTAGACAAGTTAAAAAACAAGCAGCACAGTGGAAGAAAATATTTATAAGCTATAAAACATAAAGGATTAGTAGCTTGAATATATAAAAATTTTCAAATGAATAAAGAATAGTCTCATAGGTCTAATAGAAAAAAAGACTTAAGGATATAAACTGACAATAAGCAGACATGAATATATCAATGAACAGATTTCTACTCAGTTGTATAAAGGAAGTATAACTTCTTCATTTACATAATTGACTTCATCTTCCTCCTGAGCCTCCACCTCATTGGTATGGGGGATTTGGAGTTGGGGGTTGGGGAATAGGTACACTGTAAACTTTCCAGATAAGTGAATCTCAGACATTTTTGGTTCTCATTCATCTTCAGATAACACAGCACCTTTTTGTAAATGTTTCCCGTTTGGATTCTCTCCTCCTTTCCTTGCTTCTCCTTAGGATGGTGGCTGGGAACATGGTAGGTGGCGATTAGCCAATCTGAGTACCATCCTTCATCTTATTTTCCCCAGATTCTTAAATGGGAAGCAAGGAAAAAACCTCCTTTTCTTGGCCTTTGCTTCAGCTAATGCTAAGGATTTTTACTCATAGAAGCTGAAAGTCATGATACATGTGAGTGATGAATGCTTACATTCTCTATTCTGTCCCTCTTTTATTTTCCACATCCTACTCTTGGGTAAGAGTGGCCTTTTCCTCTTTCCATTCTCATCCAGTTAGGACTCTTCAGTCCTCTCTGCATGATGATTTCTATTAAAATTCTATGTTCAGTGTTCCAAACATTGCTGTTGATATTTAAAGGTTGCTTAAGAAATTAAATGTAACTTTTCTGTCTGGAGAAAGATTGATTCTCATGACACTTGCCTAATAACTCCAGGCTGAAAGCTAACCTCTTTAATCTGGGTTGTATCTGTCCTCCCCACCGAAAAGATTAAAGCCATTAGACTTGACGGGTGATAAGTTGAAAGACAGTAAGACTTACAATGTATGAAAATATATCTGATGAATGGATAAAGAAGATGTGGTACATATATATAATGGAATACTACTCAGCCATAAAAAGGAATGAAATAATGCCATTTGCAGCAACATGGATGCAACTAGAGATTATCATACTAAGTGAAGTCAGAAAGAGAAAGACAAATATCATATATCACTTATATGAGGAATCTAAAACATGACACAAATGAACCTAAGTGTGAAACAGAAACAGAATCACAGACATACAGAACAGACTGGTGGTTGCCAAGGGGGAAGGGGTTGGGGGAGGGATGGAGTGGGAGGTTGGGGTTTAGCAGATGTAAGCTTTTATATATAGAATGGATAAACAACAGGTCCTACTGTAAAGCACAGAGAACTATATTCAAGATCCTATGATAAACCATAATGGAAAAGAATATTAAAAAAAGAAGGTATACATATGTATAGTTAAAAAAATTATTTATTTGGTTGTGCCGGGTCTTAGTTGCCGCAGGTGGGCTCCTTAGTTGCAGCACATGGGTTCCTTAGTTGTGGCATACATGTGGGGTCTGGTTCCCTGACGAGGGATCGAACCCGGGCCCCCTGCATTGGGAGCGTGGAGTCTTAACCACTGCGCCAGCAGGAAAGTCTCTATATATGTATAATTGAATCACTTTGCTGTACAGCAAAAATTAACACAGCATTGTAAATCAACTATACTTCAGTTAAAAAAGAGAAAATATAAATGAAATTGCTTTAAAAAATATTATTCTCATTACATGTGAAAAATTGCACTATCTTACCAGTAGCTAGGAAATTGCAAATTTGAAAAATGAGATACCACTGGCAAACAGTTTAAAGTTTGGTGAAAGACTGCTAGAGGCTGTTTAAACTGTTGCAACCACCCAAGAGAACAATTGGCACTATGAAGAAAACTGTAAATGTATATATTATACCACCCGTCAATACAACTTCTAAGTATACTTCCTAGAGGAACTCTTCCTCAGTTGCATAAGATGACAAGTGTGAGGATATTCACTGCAGTTTCGTTTGTAATACTAAAAACTACGCAAATATCCATTAATAAATTAACAAATAAAATATAGTATATTCATATGATGGAAACAAAAACCTTTAGGAGAAATGGACCATATATATATCTATAAGTGATGATTTCAAAAATAACTGAGGAAAAATGTGAACTGAAGAATATAATGCCAGTTATAAAAATTTAATTGTTCACAAAGCAACATAAACATTGATTATTTATATCTCCATACATGTAGCATTCATGTATTGACTAGAATGATACCCCCGAAATTCATGATGTTATGAGAATCCTCTGGGAATGGGCAGCAGGAAATGGGGATCAAAGGATATGACTACATTATCTTTAATAATTTCTTTACAGTAAAAAAGACTTTAAAGAAATAGTACTAAGAAGTAACAGCTGCCAAGTCTGGGTGATGGGCTCATGAGCATGAAAAAGTGCTCAGTAATAAATTAGACCAGGGAATTCCCTGGTGGTCCAGTGATTAGGACTCTGCACTGCTGAGGGCCTGGGTTTGATCCCTGGTTGGGCAAGTAAGATCCCACAAGCTGGAATGTCCATGATGTGAAGCTGAGTGTGTCCTCGCGTGTAGCAGTTCTTCTTATCACCCCCATGGGGAAATCAAGGCAAAGCCTAGACTGCCATGAAATTAAAAATTAGCCATTTGATTGTTAAAGTACAGGGGAATATGGCATTGTACAAACTTGTTTCTTTAAGGAAAAAAATCATAGCTTCCCCTTTCCTCCTTCCATTAAATATTGCTTTCACTCATTTTTTCGTTGTATTTTTAGAAATATTTCCAAAAAGTCCAGTGTATTACATTTGTGCCATTTGTTCATTTATTTATTCAATGTGCATTTATCTTGACTGACCAGCTCCGGGGAACAGTGTTAGGAAAGCAAGAAGAAAGGAAAAATGAAAGTCGGTGATCAGACTTCATTTAAATATTCAAGACCTATATGAAGAAAATTACAATTTCTTTACTGCTAGTTAAAGACCAGAATAAATGGAGATGAACATCAAGATAAAAAGAACCATATCTGTGGTGGACAGTGTGATGCACCAACCAGAATCTTCTTCAGTGAGAGTTGTTTCCATAACTGGCTTCAGCTATTATCCCCTTTATAAACTGTCTCCAGTGAGGAAAGCTGCCTTGCCCAGAACCATGGCCCTTCCCTGGTTTCTCACACTGAAAGACTGATGGATGAGGGAATTGGGCTATTTCAACCTAACCTGGGACAGCTCTGACCAGCCATTCTAACTCCAGAGCTCCCAGTGAGGTTGGCTGAGGCTGTCGCTGGACCTCCTATACCTCGTCTTCTCTCTCTGACCACTACTGTTTACTTTGCTTCTCTTTCACAAGGATCTTCTTAATAATATTGTGCATGCTAAAAAAAAATGATCAGAAGCATTTCAGAGGACACTGCGGAGGTCATACAGGTAAAACTACAATTACAAAAGGAAGGAAAAAACCTGGAATGGAGAGAAAGAAGAGATGCATGGGAAGGTGATGAAAAAGGGGATAAACTGGAAAAAAATTGAGGTGAGTTTGAGGCAAGAGTAGCGGTGAAACAAGAAAAATGGAGTTGGCCGAAGGTGACAGAGGTGGAAGAAACAGCTCATGCAGCAGTGGCAAGGGATCTAAACATCCATGGTTGGCTATATGTGGTCTACCCTTGTGAAAAGTCCTTACCAGAATCTACTTTTGTAAAAAAATCTTTTTGCTGCTGTCGATCAAGGCATTTTGCTTAAAAAAAAACACCAAAACCCGAAAACTAACAAAACCAAAATAAAAAACGCAGCTGCCCACTGTCCATGAATGAAGATGCTGCATCTCTGAGCGGTGGCATGGGCTCAAAGTGAGTGTAGGTAGATCACTAAGTGCCGGAAGCTGGGTGCAAGGAATTGTGGGAGGCAGTTCATTCCGGGATCAGGCATTTTCCGCCCTTGAGCAGAGGACCATGAGAGGGCGTTGGGGGCGCTCGTGAGGACCCGGACAAGGAGAGGGAGGTAGAGGTTGGAGTGGTGGGTCGGGGAAGGGCTCCGGAAGGTGCAAGTACAGGTTGTCGTCATGGTGAGGAGAGCCTCTCTCTGGACTGGGGTTGGGCGCCCGAGGCCAGGGCTCTGGGACAAAGCCCTGCGCGCTGGGACCTGACACCCTTGCCGCGGGGCTGCGGAGCCCTGTGACGTAGCCGGCTTCAGCATCCATCCCAGGCGGCAGGAACTCGGCGTCCGCGTCCTCCTTGTTGGCCTCTTCTTGGCAGGCGATCTCTGGGACAGCTGCGCACAAGAATCCCGGCTCCAGGGCCATGTACTCCCCTGGAGCGCTCAGGAAAGCGCCCCGTCCCAGGCCCTGTCCCCACGGGCCTTCCACACCCGAGCCCAGGAGGGCCTTGGGGACCAGCATGAGGATGTGATCTCCGAGAGACACTTGCAGCACGGACGTGGGCTCGGGCTCCAGCAGCAGGTCGACGTCGTCCAGGGGCAGGTGCAGGCCACAGCCGGCGGGCAGGACCACCATGGAGGTTAGCGTGCCCTTGGCCTGGGGCTCAGGCACGTTGTCCATGCTGGGCACCGCCTCAGCTTCGGGTTCCTCCATTCGATGGCGCTTACCAGGGCCAGGTCCTCCGGGCTGCGGCCCCCACCAGTCCGCAAGGTAGGCGATGGGGCTGCGGGGCCGGCTGCCCATCACCTTGACCGACGGACCTGCGGGCGGCGGTCCCAGAGCCTGGCAGAGGGCGAGGAGGCGCTCGGTCCTGCACGCTGTGACGGGTCTCGATGACAGGTGAGGCAAGCCGGGACGGGCCGAATGGGGCGCAGGACAGCGCGATGCGGGTCGAGTCCTCGGAGCTCTGGGGTCACGTCCCGAGAGTACCGCAGTCCAGGTTTCTAGCGGAGCTGCGTCTGCAGCTGGGTTGGGCCTCGGGCGTTGGAATCTTCAGCTCTTCACGCTGACCCCTATGCTCGCTGGATGATTAACAACATGGGATGTCATGTGACCTGCGGCTGCCGGGAAGTCTCAGTGTAAGCCCCGCCTTCTGCCAGAGATAGGATTGGATCAGCGTTAGTGCAATGCAGTAGCGGGAGAGTTTTGTTTTTTTTTAAACGGAAGTGTAGCATAATACTCCTTGGGTGCCCGTATGCGGCCCAGTGGTCTTTATTACTTTTATTCTTGGGAAAATATCCAAAATACAATCTCATCAACTGCTTGCTTACTTTTAGAAGTAGCTTATGTCTAATGTCTTCTAAGATTTTCCATGAGGCTATGAAAAGCCTTTATCCCATCACCAGTCACTCCTTCCCAACCCTACCCACGTGGTTCTTGAAATTCTTTTCACCCAGGAGACAAATTAGAAATGCAATTTTTCTTCGGTAAAAAAACTTGAAAATATTCAAGTGAAATGGACTGATTGCAGTTTTTGTTGTTGTTTCTGGAGACCAGTATGTGGTAATTATTAATAACAGTATGGAAATTTTATCATGAAGTTAGCCTTTGTCTTTAAACTTGCTGTCTGACGTGTTATAATGAGTGTTTAAAAAGTTAGTTTATTCACTTCTCATTAGTGAAGGTCAGAGGAGAGAAGGAAATTTTACAAAATTAAACACCAGGGTTGTGTTGGACTTGGGAATTAAATACACACGTTTAACTTTAAAACAGAGATCTTTGACATTTTACCTATACGCTTATGGCAAAAAACCTAGATGTGGAATTGCTGGGTAGTAGTGTGTGGCACCGGAACAATAGGAGAGAGAAAGCCAGACTGCTTTCTTAAATAGTTGTGCTAATTTATATTTCTGTGAGCAGTGGGTAAGTGTTCCCTTTCCACCACATCCTTGCCAACACTTAGTATGGTTAGATTTCTAAGCATTTTCCAATCTGATGGTATTTCATCATTTATTTATACTGTATTTCTCTGATTACTTATAAGGTTGATCATGTTTTCATATGTATTGGCCACTTGTGTAACATCTGTGTAGTATGTGTTTATGTCTTTTGCCCATTTTTGGATGTTACTGAATTTTGGAACTTCTTTTATATTTATGTGTGTTGAAATTATCTTTTCCCATTTTGTGGCTTGTTTGTATTCACATTCTTTATAGTGCCTTTTGATAAACAGAATTTCTTAACTTTAATATAGTTTCAGATGTATTAGTGTTGTTCTCTATGCTTTGTAATTTTTGTGTATTGTTTAAGAAATACTCCCTATTCCAAGATAATTTTTATATCTTCCGAATATTTAAATCTTCGCTTTTCAAAATTTAAACTCTTTATCCAAATCCAGATTTAAAAATGATTGTTGTCTATGGATGAGACAGTGATTCAATTTCAATTTTTTCCTCATTGTGCATGTTGACCCAATTCTTTTATTGAAAAGTGCTTTCCTGGGACTTGCCTGACAGTCTGTTGGTTAAGACTCTGTGCTTCCACCGCAGGGGACATGGGTTTGATCCCTGGTCGGGGAACTAAGATCCCACAAGCTGCGCAGCATGGCCAAAAAAAAAAAAATCTTTTCTCTTTGAACTGCATCATTTCCTGGGTTACATACTTTTTGGTTTACGTGTGGATATGTTTTTCATCTATTATGATGCACTGATTTAATTGTCTAACCAGAAGCAATTTCACACAATTAATACTTTTAATACATTGTTTGCAAAATATTTAACATATAATAATTAATACAATACTAATTAAATTAGTATACTTTCATAATAAGTTTTTTAGTCGACAAAATCTTTGTTTATGACCATTTTTGAAAAATGGATTTATTAAGCAAAGAATTCCTGGTCAAAACACTTGTTTTCTAGCAGTACTGCTATTATTCCACTGTTTACTGTCTTCCATTGCTGTTTCTGAGAAGTCAGTTGTCTGACTGAATTGCCTTTTTATTGTAGTTGTCTTTTCTTTCTGCTTATAAAAAATATTCTCTTTGGATTTGGTGTTTTGTGGGTTTATAGTAGTCTGTCTAAATGTGTATTTTTTAAAATTTATCAATCTTGAAAGTTGTTGTGCTTCCTGAATGAGGACACTATACTATGTCCCAGAACTATGTATATTCTTGCAAATAGGCTTCTTTTCCCTTTCTTCCATGCTGAAAGTCTTGCCACCTCTACTTGCCATAGGATCATGAAGACTAATTTCATCATGCCTTTTACTCCTGTTCATTGTAGGAAACTGTTCATCCCTAATATCTCAGATTAAAAATCTTCAAATACTCAGTACCTGGCCTTTTCTCACTACCTCATATCCTTCTCCTTTTCATTCTGCCTTCTGGAACTCATAGTCAATCACAGAACTAAAAACTCTTCAACTTCCGTGATATTCCCTTTAACTTTCTTTTTATAACTGAAACCTGCTTCTTCTGAGTTCCCTTTTTTCCCTGGAGGCTTCTCAAGTGGAGGCTATTTTCTCTCACATACCCCTAGTACCCATGGCTGGAGGTACAGTGTATGTTATTCTTGCTCCTCATTGATGTTTCCCATTCATATCTCCATTATTCCTGAATTTCACATCATCAGAGTATAACCACTGTCTAATCTGTCTTGGTGCAATCCTCTACCCTCTTTCCAACTGTAGGACGCCTCTCCCTCACTCCTTAAATGTTTTTTACTCTTGGCTTTCTGTCACTCTCTATTGTTATTTGGTTGTACCAGGTCTTAGTTGCTGCTTGTGGGCTCCTTAGTTGTGGCATGCAAACTCTTAGTTGTGGCATGCATGTGGGATCTGGTTCCCTGACCAGGGATCGAACCCAGGCCCGCTGCATTGGGAGCATGGAGTCTTAACCACCGCACCACCAGGGAAGTCCCTCTGTCACTCTCTCTTGATGCTGTCATAATTCTTGGTGATTTCAAAATGCACATTAGGTAGTTTTTACAGAACACTGGTGTATCTCTATCTTATACCACTCCCCTGCATTCTAGACTCCCATCTCTCACTTCCTACTAAACATCTCCACTGAATATGTAACAGGCACTTCACATGACATATGTCCAAAATTGAACATTTTTTTCTATATGTACTACCCTTAGGTCTTTCCAATTTCAGAAAATAACAATTGCATTTTTTTTGCCCTTGTCCCAAACCCTAAAGTTATCCTAGCATCTCTCTCACCTCTTGCATGAGGAAATTCTGTTTTCTCTGTCTTCAGAATATATCCAACTACATGCCACTTCATATCACTCCTCTTCTATTACTTTAATGTAAGGCACCGTTACTTCTTGTGTGAATTATTGTACTCCATGAAGGCAGTAATTTTTAACTATTTTGTTCTTGGCTGTACTCCTGGAGTTTGGAAAGGTGCCTGGTACATAGTAGGCACTTAATGCATGTTTGTTGAATGAATGAGTGACTGATTTTTTTCTGTCATCACATCTGGAGAATTTCTCATTCATTATTTCTGTGAATAAAGCTACTTCCTGTGCTTTCAGTGTTCCCCCTCTCTATCTACAACAGTCATGTAGTAGAACTACTCCCTCTCTGATAATGTCTCTTAGTCTCCCTTTCATATTTTATGTTTTTACCCTCCTTAGCTTTATGGATGATTTCTCTAGCTCAGTGTTTCCATTTTCTTTTTTTAATTTTTATTTTATATTGGGATATAGTTGATTTACAATGTTGTGTTAGTTTCCAGTGTAACAGCAATGTGGTTCAGTTATACATATACATATATCCATTCTTTTTCAGATTCTTTTCCCATATAGGTTATTGCAGAATATTGAGTAGACTTCCCTGTGCTATACAGTAGGTCCTTGTTGATCATCTATTTTATATATAGTAATGTGTATATGTTAATCCCAAACTCCTAATTTATCCCTCCCCCCACCTTTCCCTTTGGTAACCATAAGTTTGTTTTCGAAGTCTGTGAGTCTGTTTCTGTTTTGTAAATAAATATCATCTTTTTAGATTCCACTTTTAAGTGATATCATACGATATTTGTCTTTCTCTGTCTGACTTACTTCACTTAGTATGATATTCTCTGGGGCCATCCACGTTGCTGCAAATGACATTATTTCTTTTTTATGGCTGAGTAGTATTCCATTTTATATATGTATCACATCTTCTTTATCCACCCCTCTGTCGATGGATATTTAGGTTGCTTCTGTGTCTTGCTATTGTAACTAGTGCTGCAATGAACACTGGGGTGCATGTATCTTTTTGAATTAGAGTTTTATCCAGATATATGCCCAGGAGTGGGATTGCTCGATCATGTGGTAGTTCTATTTTTAGTTTTTTAAGGAACCTCCATACTGTTTTCCATAGTGGCTGCACCAACTTACATTCCCACCAGCAGTGTAGGAGGGTTCCCTTTTCACCACACCCTCTCCAGCAATTATTATTTGTAGACTTTTAAATGATGGCCATTCTGACCAGTGTGAGGTGATACCTCACTGAAGTTTTGATTTGCATTTCTCTAATATTTAGTGATGTTGAGCATCTTTTCATGTGTTTTTTTTAAAATATAGATTTATTTATTTATTTATGGCTGTGTTGGGTCTTCCTTGTTGCTCACGGGCTTTCTCTAGTTGAGGCGTGCGGGGGCTACTCTTCACTGCAGTGCGTGGGCTTCTCATTGCAGTGGCTTCTCTTGCTGGCGGAGCATGGGCTCTAGGCACGCAGGCTTCAGTAGTTGTGGCATGTGGGCTCAGTAGTTGTGGCTCACGTGCTCTAGAGTGCAGGCTCAGTAGTTGTGG